TGAGTTGCCTCTGTGTGTGTGTTGGTTTGTGTGCGTGCAGCTGAATGTGTGTCTCTGTACGTCTGCGTGTGCACAAATGGTTTGTGGGAAAAAAAATAATTATTGTGCATGTTTATGCATATCTTTTGGACGAGTGACTAAATAATGTTTCTAAATGCTGGTATGTCGGGGAAGGCAAGGTTTTGTGTGTGTGTGTGTGTGTGTGTGTGTGTGTGTGTGTGTGCGTGCGTGTGTGTTTTAGGTGCACTGTCACCCGGATTGGAAGTGACAGGCAGGAAGTATCGGAGGCAGCCCACTAACCACACAGGGGAGGGCTCTACGCCGAAAAACATTACCAGTAGGGGTAGAGTGACTACATACATGGAGACAATAGAGGGACAAAGGGGGAGACGGAGAGGGGGTGTGGGGGAGGGGGGGGGGGGGGCATAGTTTGTTTTGCTGTTATTGAACAGAGGAAAATAACGTCAGAGCATCCGAACATGCTCTTCACACTGAGCTGCTGGAGGTAAAGGAGTCGCCTCGGACAGAAACAAGGGAGAACCGGCATCCATGTCCCGCGTCGGTCCGGAATCAGGACTCAGGAACATTTAGGAATTCAGGAATTTGACTTGGCGGTTGGTGCATGACATCAGACAGTAGGACAATGGACAACAAGACAACGTAGCGCAAGATGCGTTGTTGGTTTTGGGCCATTCGTGGGTCGACAGTAGCTGGCGGGAAGGTGTGAGCAAACACCTCCACCTGTACAGCAGGGAAATGTTCTCAAATATTGGCTTTGTGAATCTTTAATGAGGAGAAAAATGAAACATTTCAGCACAGATGATGCGATGGGTTTTGGTGAGAGACACCAGATTTATCAGAACCGTCCCAAAAACCTAAAGACGCTTCACGTGCCAGGTGGAGCCAGGTGGTGCCGGGTGGAGCCAGGTGGTGGCGGGTGGAGCCAGGTGGAGCCAGGTATTGGCGGGTGGGAATGGCGGGGAAAATGAATGGTGGTTCCATCTCACACAGGGACGCTATGGAACAGACTGACGGATCACATTAATGAAGAAGGAGTGGACCACGTTTTTCACATTTCTGGAACACACATTCATTTTGCTTTGGTCCTTAGAAAAATCGAAACCGTCGCCAAGTCTGTGAGGTGAACGTTGAGCTGAAGGCAGCAAGTGATTAGCTTAGCTTAGCATAAGGAATAAGAACAAAATCCAGTTACCCACTCCTCTGACACGTTAAGAAAGACAATACACTGTTTAACCTGTCGAAGGTAGAAAGATTTTGTTAGATTTTGAAAACTGTTTCCCCCTTTGTGCCAAACATCTGCATCTGCAGCGTAGGATGCATTTTTATTTTTTGAAAAGCGTTAAGCTTATTTTTCCTGCCCAACTTCCTTTGACTATAGAAGCAGTAGAAGGACGTGCTTAACTGTGTCGGGCTTATAAAATAATCCAGCTCCCACTCAGCAAGTGCAGAAACGTGTGTTCTTCTGTATTGGCGATGAACATCTGGGTGCGGTGACCTTCCTGAGGTCTGGTTCCCATTGCGCTCGCAGACTAAACTGTTAGTCATGTAAAAACAGAAACTATTGTTTTCATCATTTATGTTTACGGAAGCAAAGTTATAGCGGCTTTAACTTTAATGACAGCGAGTACAGACGTTTTTGTTTTTTTCATCTGTATGCTAACCGTTGCTAAGCTAAGCTAAACTAAGGTAATTAGCGTCAATTGAATTATGAGTGAGTCCAACGTGAAGACAAAACTAAAGAAGACCAACGGATGATAAAGAGAATATCAAATGATCAAGTAGAGAGGACATGAAGAGAGAGAGAACAAAGGGAAGGAAAAGAAGAGCAGATTTTTAAAAAAAGATGAAAATATCTGAAGGAATAAGAGGCGAGACGAGGAAGGTCAGCGAGGAAGAATAGAGGGAGACGCTGTTTGTATCTCATAACGACATTCAAGTTCGAATAGTTCTCATCTCGCTTTCTGTCTCCCACAAAACACACAACACACACACACACACACACACACACACAGGTATCTGCATGCCAACGCACAAACACATGCAAGCATTCCTAAACTCACTCATACACACGCCGTGTGTGTATGAGTGTGTGTGTGTTTGTGTGTGCGCGCAATGGGGAGATGCACAAAGAGAAGACCAGATTAGAAAAGCAGGCCAAGAGGCGGTTTCCCATGGTGCATCTCTAGAAGCGAGACCGGGTTGTGTCAAAGCCAACTGCTCCTCCAGCTGAAGCCGAAAGACACACAGAGACACAGAGAGAGACAGACAGACGCAGAGACAGACAGACAGACGCAGAGAGACAGACAGACAGACCGAGAGTAAGATGTGGGCGTTTCCCGCTTCGGAGTCAGAGATCAGTCTGAGAGCTGAGGAGGTAAAACGGGGGAGTTGGCAGAGACATGGAGACAAAACGTACATAAAAGTCTCAAAGCGGCAGAAATGGGTGAGACAGCGGGAGACGAGAGGAGGGAATAGAGTAAAAGGAGTGACAGTGATGGATGGAAGCGAAAGACGGATGGATGGAGGGACGTGGGGGGCGGGTTGGAGGATGGAGAAGCGGCAGACGGAGATTGACAGCCTCCTTTCCCGGGGACGGATGAATAAACCGGTGCAGCGACGGATGGAGAGGGAGAAAAGGAGTGAGGGATGGAGGAGGGGAGGTAATGAGAGAGAGAGAGAGAGAGAGAGAGAGAGCGAGCGAGCGTCTCCGTAATCAAGCCATAAAGCAGAGCGGGAGCGAGGGAGCGAGGTGGAAAAGACGAGTGGGCTCTGAATGAGTCAATCATGATTAATCAAGACGCTTCTCGCTCTCTCTCTCGTCGTCTTTCTGCTCAGACTCATCATCATCATTACACGCACACGCACACACACTTACACACACACACACACACACTTAACCATGTTCTCTAGTGCAGCCGTCGAGACTGTACACGGAGTGCACATACAGTACCAGTCAAAGGTTTGGACACAGTCTTCAGACTGCAGGCCGCTTGTTTCCAAACCGGTGATTCTTTCGAAAAAGGGTCAACTCGCATTGAATGCGTTACAATAATACTATTACTAATACTATTTAAGTTTGTATATTATTAAAACACTTGCAATGCTGTATTTAGAGAATTCTCAAGCAGCAATATATATATATATATATATATATATATATATATATATATAAAGAGAGAGAGAGAGAGAGAGAGAGAGAGAGAGAGAGAGAGAGAGAGAGAGAGAGAGAGAGAGAGGGAGGACTCTTGGATTAATGCACATCTGTTGGTGGTGATGTGGTGACTTAAAGGAGGCATATCAGAAAATAACCTCGCCCCCCCCGGTGCTGGTTCACAAACATTTAGGCATCCCGGGGTCCTACCAACCCACAGACTGTGAAATAAGACAAGCCAGTCATTTTATTTAGGAGCTCAGATCAGAAAACGTTCAACGAGCCATTTGGCTCCACTTCCTATGACACATGAAGACTCATTCAAACGTGGCGAAAAACAAGCTGAAAATGAGCAGGACACTTCCATTTTTAAACAAACCACGGTGCTTTATTGCACGAAAGAACGTGTGTGACTCACTGACGTGTTTTTTTAATAGTTTTTGGACAAACAGCAAATATCTCAGAGGAATAAACGGTATAATGAATTCATTGTCGAATTTGGTCTTTTCATGCACGTAATTTCAACAACAGAAATACAGCACATCATCAGTGCTGACCTTTAAAGGTGCCCCCTAATTAAACAAGTCGAAGATGATTGTGGAACTTTCATCTTTTTTTTTTTCTCCCACCGGCTGTAATGTGCTCTAAAGAAAACCACTGGATAAGAGAAAACCTCCCCTGCGTCGCGGCTTGTGAGCAGCGCGTGAATCCTCAGGCAGAAAGAGAAAAAAAATAGGGCACTTTCATATTTATTCAAGTGTCAGATCCAAGGCCGTCTGTAGGGAGGGGAGGGGGGAGGAGGAGGGGAGGAAGAGGGGAGGAAGAGGAAGGATGGCTGCAACCACACTTTCACACGCCTGTCTCTCTTTTCCATCCGAACACACACACGCGCGCATGGACACACGGGGGGGGGGGGGAGGCATACAGAGGGGAGCGAGGGAGAAGGAAAGGAAAAGAAGACGAGGAGATAGAGGAGGACGGATGTGCTGTCAATCAAACCCAGAAACGAAGAAAAAAAACAATGCATAAACACACCAAACGAAGGAGTTCAGCGCGCCAGCTTTAGTCCCAGAAGCATCAGACGGAGCGGCTGAACGAGGATTACGCGCAGGTGCCAAACGGGCCGCGACCCGCCGTCTCCAGGATGTCGCATCAATTCCGGGGACGCGCGGCGCGGAATAGAGAAGCCTTCATCAACGCGGCCGGAAGAACACGGAGCTCCCGCTCGATCGACACACACACACATGAATACCTCAGAGAAACGAGCTGCCGGTGAGCGTAAAGCAACACCTCCTCCTGGTGGAGACCGCGTGAACTGCAGGAACACTCGGATCCGGTTTGAATGCAGCTTCGTGTCCCCCGGTGGTTTTGAAACTGTCCCGATTTATTGCTGTTGTCCCTATTTGAGGCGCATAAAGACCTTGATTATCATCACACAAGCAGTAAAACAGGCTGCGTGAGGTGCACATCTTTGATATTCAACTTGGGATTTCATGGACCCTAAATTCTTGAACGTGCTGCTTGTAGTTTCAGTCATTTATTATTATTGTTTAGACTTCAGACTAAACCGTTTTTTCCCCCTAAAACATAATAAATGACACAAACAGTAATCACATGTTTCCAACCACTACATATGGTTTGTCGATGAAAAATATACTTTTCAGCCAAAAGGTTTGACCAATAATGAAATATCCTTCATTTCTTGATTAAAGGAAAAACGGAATAAGAAATGTTTAAGGAAAAATGCTTTTACAGGAATCAAATATTATTCAGTCAGTCACAATAACGGCTTTCTAACCACCAACCAGACATTCAAAGAGTCACAGAAGACTTTTGATTTGATTGACTTTATTTGTAAGGCACCAGAAGTCCTTCCTTACTGCAGAACATTTCATATTATTTATAGTAAATGTTTGTTGTACTTTTTAATAGGTTCTTTTTTTTTGTTTCAATGAAGCTATGATTTCAGACACAAAACATTTTTTTTGCCAAAGTACACACTTTCAGGTTTTACATTATGCACAAAATAAGTATTTAAAAAAAGACCTTTACAAAGCTCAAAACGCTTACAATGCATCACGCTATGGGGGCAAAAAGTTAGGAAGGTGGGATGTGGCGTGGGAGAAGAGGGTAGGGGCGGGGGGGGGGGGGTCAGAGAGGAGAGAAGGGGTCAAAGGTCAACGTACTGCAGCCCCCCCCCCCCCGCCTCCTCCCCCCGGTGTCACATCAGTTTTTGTTACACAATAGCACAAAAATCATCCAGGACAGACAAGAAAAGATGCAGCTATATACACATAAAGCTTTCTATGTATAACTGCGCCTCCAACTACTTGAACAAATACATAGAAGTAAATTTGTATGTTTATAACGTCAGCCTTGTAACTCTCGTTCTGCTTCGTATTGATTCATATTTCCAAGAAAGAGGGAAAAACAAAACAAGTGCATTGATTGCATTCTTTAAAAAGTTAAGAAAAATGTCGGTGTGTGTTTGCGTGTGAACGCGCGTCACTAAAGTAACCACGGCAACAGCGGCGCTTGTCGTCTGAGCTTTGGGACAAAACAAAAAGCTTTACTCTGGGTGCCATAACGTTCTAATTTGTTTTTATCGACAGCAAGCCAAGGACTGTGTGGGGCGGTGTGTCCCCCCCCCCCCCCCCCCCCGGATTAAGCGAAATTGTTTATTTTCACACGTCAATTCATTCTCACAGTGTCAATCAGAGAGCGTCGGAGAAAAGGAAGTCTGCTTCTGAGTGTTTGTAGAAAAGCCACACAAGGCTGTTTCAATCTGCCTCCACCATCAAGCCGTGTACCAGGAAGACTTTTGAGGGCCCTAAAGTTCTGACAGACAGTTTTGAACACAGCGCCAGAGTTTTGGTGACATCGCATTACTCCCAGCAAAGGTGAGGCTGACTTGAAAACAGGGCCTGTGAGGCTGAGCGGGAGGAGGGGGGTTACTCATCGCAGCCGTACTGAATAACGTTAACCCCACATGCGACGGATCTGCACCGCCAGTCAAAAATGTACCGTAATTCGAATCGGAAATGACAGAGGGATCGAAAGCTCAGCTTCCACTCTGAGGTTCTAAGACGGGTTCCCCCACCCCAAGAGAACTGGATCCTGACCAGAGACTGTGAGTGAGCGCATGCAGAGATTACGTCTCGTGAAACGGCCCAATTTACGGCCTTTGTTCAGTGTTTTTCCTTTTGCGCTGAAGCCGTTGGTGAGGCAGACCCACACTGCCCCCTGCTGACACACACGCAACATGCACACACTCATTAAAGATGCAGAGGGTGATGGAGACGCTACAGGAGGCGAGCAGCATCTCTGCTCACTTACGGGCCGCGGGGAAATGTTGCCCCTCCGTTGAGGTGCGGGTGGGATGTCGTACTTAACAGGCACCTCACGTGGGGGGAGGGTTACTTTATCAACTACTCTACAGAGGTGCTGCTTCTTTAAGATGAATTCAGAATTTCTGGTTTGGAGACATCTTCCCAATATAACGATTTTGGGATGTCTGTGTGTGTGTGTGTGTGTGGTTTCTCCCTTTAGAAGGGGAAAATGACACTAGTTAAACACTTCTATGATCCATAACAATCCACCAGTTAAACTCAAAGCCAAGTTGTACCTTGGAATGAATGCATGCAATCGGTGCTGCCAAAAAATATTGTCGGACCTCCTCGTCGGGGGAAAATGGAGTTCTTGGGAGTCCTGTGTTGTGTCTGAAGAGTATTACAGCTTGCCAAATAACGTTTAGCCTGCGGTGCGATGCGATCAGTGTCACAGATCAGTCCTGAATAACGAGGACCAGCTTAGAACAGAGGCGAGAGGACGAGGAGAGGAAAAAAAAAAAAAAAAGAAACTCAACAGGAATAAGAACCGAGAGCCAGAGCAGGAAGGCAGGAAGGAACCAAAATAGAAAGCAGTACTGATGGAAAAAAAACACAAGATAACTGAAGCTTTATCACATGCAGAGAAGAGAGTCGTTAAATCGAACAAGACCCGGGAGACCCCCCGATGATGAGAGAGAAGGGACGATAAAGAAACAACCTCGGCGCGATAAATATGGAGCGATCGGGACTAGTCTGGCGTAAGTGGGCGGGGCCAAAGCCCTCCCAATGAAAGGGAGTTGGTTAGGGGTCTGAAGCTGGAGTTGTGTTGATGGGATTGAAGCCCGTAATAGCTAAGGTCAGAGAGAAAGAGAGAGAGAGAGGGAGGGAGGGAGGGGGGGGGGGGATCTAGGGATTCAGGTCTCTGGACAAAAAAAGCGCAGCTGAATGGGGGACCCCCCCCCCGTCTAATCGGACTTGTCTCCGTCCTCCTCGCGGTGGCTGTCGACTCCTTCGCGAGAGGCCTTCTCCTCCTTGGCCAGCTGGGCTTGGGAGGCCAGCAGGGAGGAGAGGGAGAAGAGACCGGAGGAGGTGGTGACGGCGGGGAGGCTCGGCTGGCTCAGGCCCAGCGGCAGGGGGGTCATGGGCAGGGCCAGGCCCTGGAGCTGAGACAGCTGGTGAGCCTGGAGCTGCTGCTACATGGAAGACAACCAGACACAACTTAGGCACAGCAGGACAGAGCCGACACACGAGTCACTATGGGGGGGGGGACTCTAAATCTGCAAAGCACAGAGCGATTATACATCACGAATGAGGTCTAATACATGAGCCCGCGGGCGCGGCGCTAATAGCTCAGGCACAATGGGATAGATGGGAGGCACATATCAAAAGCTGAATACATGCTCGGTAGAAGACGGAAAGTCTGCCGCGCACATAACTTATTTATTACAGGAGGCAATTTTCAATCTATATAGCCCCAAGAAAATAAGCTAGAGGGGAGAATAGTGTACAAAATGGAGAGGGGGGGCGGTGGTTCTTACAAAGGAAAAATGTTCCACAATCTAACATAAAAATACCATGGGATCCATGTTTCATTTTAACATATAAAAAGACACTGATCCTTTTTAAATGGGGCAGATTTTATAACAATCCTGACTAACTTCTCATGAAGCGGATCTAAATGCCCCGGGCTACACCTCCAAAGCAAAGCGCTCTGCTTTACATTCAACTCGCAGGTGATACGCTCCATGTCCTTGAGGTATATGTGATGTAGAAGTAGGATAAAAGCAGCTATGGCAGACAAAAATATAGATTTGCTTTGGAAGGTGAAGCACGTCCTGTGGCTCCGTAGGCTAAGATGAGACGCTCCGGTCCTAAAAAAACAACAACAACAGACCTACGTGGACCAGTGTCCTCTGTATCTACACGTTGGGAGTGGCTCTGCTAGCGAATACTGAACCTCTGGTAAAATGATGGAGTAGCCGAGCTAAGCTAGTTACTACGGAGCCGCTAGAAGGCTCATATTGATAAAGTGTAGCCGGCGAACATCAAAGCCCCAGAGATGAAGGATTACAGGTGGCAGGCTAATGCCCCATCCTTATTGATCCAATATGCAGCACGCTAGCTTTATCTACACAGTTGTGCCCTTGTAGTGGGGGGGGGGGGGGGGGGAATTTATCCTTTACTTAATGTTTTAAAAAAGGTAATACATTTAAAAAAAAAGATATAAATGTACTTTAGTTGTTATTTATTGTAATAAGGATCACAACATTGCCACCAATACCTGTTCCGGTTATTTGAGTCAATATTTGACCAATTTTAGTTGCAGTAGGAAAAACCTAAGAAAAAAAACGTTTTTTTCTTCAAAATATACAAAACAATAAGCCAATAGATGAAAGTCATTGACGAAAACAATAGAACAAGCCATCATAAGACCCTCAAGCGGGGCTGCGGGCAGGAACATCATACCCTTATGATGGAGTTCATCTCTGGGGGGGTGACCTGCTTGGCCCTCTCTATGGCTGCCAGGACCTGCTGCTGGTGCTGGAGACGGTGGGTGGGTGGTGGAGGTGGGGGTTTGTAGGGGATGGGGGGGGGGGGGGGGGGGTGAAGGCGAGAGGGGGGAAAGCGAGAGAGACAACAAAAGCAAGACAAAAACAAGGAGAGGGGAGTTGGGGAGGGAGAGGGAGAGGTGGAGAGGTTAGATCAATATCAATAGTCCCAGCAGAGAACGACAACCGCCCCCTCTCCCCCCCTCCGGCCATTCAGCTTTCAGGCCAGGAGCCGAGTGTGACACCGGTGAATGGATGGATGGCTGGTTGGTGCTGTAATGGGTGGAGGACAACGCCCTGGTGGGCAGATAAGAGCGCGGCTTATCTGAATCACACAGCCATTTATTACACACACACACACAGAAAAGAGTGCGGCGGAGCAGGAGCAGGAGGAGATGGAGGAGGAGCGGGAGGGGAAAAAGGGAAAGAGGGGAGTGGGGGGAGGGAAAACTGATTGAATATGGCAGACGAGAGGGTGGGGGGGGGGGACTGAGAGGGGGACAAACGTGAAAGCGGGTCGGAAGGGAACACGGCAGGCGAGTGATGATGAGCGACGGCCGGAGGGAGGGAGCGAGGGAGGGAGGGAGGGAGGGCGAGGGGGTCGCGGAGGTGAAGAGGTAATGAGGCGCGAACGAGGGAGATCCCATTCCAGGAAGTGAGGGGGTCAGAGGGCGGACTGCGTGTCAGTGTGTGTGTCTGTGCGCTTACCTCCTGAGACAGGTAGGGGAGGACTTGTGCGCAGATTCCGTTCAATCTCTTCACGATCTCAGCCTGCGGAGAAAAGACGGACATCTTTTAGTCTGTGTGTAGTTCGAAAGCAGATGTTCCTCAAACAGGAGTCGGGGACTATTTTACGGCGCAGATGACGAACACACATCTGGTGCTGCAGTGAGGACATGACACTTCCCCGCGATGAAGGAACACCTCAGCCGTGGCAGCGTGCGTGTGTGTGTGTGTGTGTGTGACTCCGCGTGGTGTGTTTTTGATAAAGCTGCTTACACACCCTTTAGGCCCGGCTTTTATTTTATTTCATTTCCGCGTGGTGCAAAACGTAACGAGACGAGCGCGTTTAGCCTTTCCGCCTCGCCTCCCCGAGACGTGTTCCCTCACGACGGGTTACTCCGACCAACGGTGGCGCGGAGCGATGCTCCACTGTAAAACTCGGCCCGGAGACAGAGGAATGACGGGAAAGATAAAAAGAAGTGGCCTCCCGGGCCGAGGGGAGTCGAGCATTAGTCTGCCGTGTCTCAGGGCGATGTGGGCGTGAACGCTCCATTGACGCCCCCCTCGCTCGCATCAGATTGGCTGCTGTTATCAGGGTGAGTCACCGCATTGAAACACATATGAAAACAATAAAAACAAAATGATTCAATCCATTTTTTCCCTTTGCTGACAAAGTAAAAAGCCAAAGCACGTCACCAGATTCATCCTTTAAACCCGTATGATTCAAACCACACTCTCATCAGTATGGGAAACATCTGCTCTGACCTTCCCAACACACACACACACACACACCAAAATCCCTCATTCACCTCATTAATTAAGTTGCTTGTACTGTATACTTTTACACACACACACACCCATGCAGGCACTTGCAGACGACCCCCACTTTTTCTCATCCTGCACATTCTCCATCTTTCTCACACGCAGGTCTATTATCACATTTGGTTGGTAATCACCCAATCCGTCTGAGATATGCAAAGCGGCAGTAATTGTGTTGGAGCCTAATTCGTGGCACGGCGAGCAGAGCGGGGCTCCTCCGAACCGTCATTAGGCATGCGGAGCACGCCGCCCCATCGAGCGCTTCACCCCGGTCCGCTCGTCATCGCACACACACACACACGCACACACACACACACGCACACGCGCACACACACACACACACACACACACACTCTCCCCGGCGCCTCTGAAATGTCTCTCTGAAACGTCTCTGCGGGACTCGCTCCATACCAACTACGGCTCTTCCTCTTTTTTTCTGTGCCCTTTATGAGTCTCTCTCCTCCCCCCTCTTCCTCCAACCTCGCCTCGGTTTCCCTTCTTTTTTTTTAAATCTGTGCTCTGTATTTTCCTCCTCTGTGTCTCCCTACGCTTTTATCTGTCTGAACGCTGCTTCTTCTCTTTTGTCCTGCCTTTACATTTTACACGGCTTTATTCCAACCCTCCTCGAGTGCACATTCACCCAGGAGAGCCTTGTATGGGGGGGGGGCAGCAAATGAAACATACATCATAACACAACTTGGCCAGCGCACAAATACAACGAGGTCGTTCCGCAGCGTTCATTACGGTCTCGGATGTCTCTGCTGCTTTTTGTCAATTTCAATGTCTATATTAACCTTTATTGTACCTTTGTATCCCTTCTGTAAATGATCCCCGTGTGATTAGATTCACAGGGAGAGCAAAACACGGACGTGTGTGTGTGTGTGCGTAAGGTGATTAAAAGAGTGCGTTCGTAGGAAGGCAGCCTAAACAAATGGAACATTTCACAGACTTCCTGCTGTTGTCTGAATGCGCTTCTCTGTTTGAGTGTCTTGTGCCGTCGCTTCCTGCCGGATTACAACCCGACATCGTACTCCGTCACCGTTTATGAAACACCTTCAAGAGATCCAATGATGCCAATAACCATGACTTGGTTAGGTGAAAATTAGCTTGCGAGCCGGAAAAGTGTGGACAGCCCTGATCTAATAGCGTATAATATAATAAAATGTAAAACTGACTATGGAAAATTGGACCATGATCCATTGGGCCTCATGTTTATATTTGATGCTGATGGTTCTTATTAAACTTCAGTCAAACCTCTCATCAATTAATGGACATTCTTATATGGCTCTATTGGATGTACTTATTGATGTAGATCATTCTGCCATCACAACCTACCGAGAGGAACACGTCCAGAGGCAGTTCAAGTCCCCTAATTACAGGTGAGTAAATGCGTGCGTAATGACGACCGTGTGTGCGCTAGATTGTCTTGTTGTTGTGCGAAAGCTCCCAAAGCCGTAAACAACGCGAGCAAAACATAGCTGAGGGGTTATGCTGTCTACAGCAGGACTACACAAGACTAAACAGGGAGGGAAACGGGACAAAGACAAAGAGGGCTGCATTCAACATGTTCACAGTTCAATCCACAACTCAACCTTGCTTCTCTTCCCCAAGACAAAACATGGAGAAACAGAGAGAGAGAGTGAGAGAGAGGGTGAGAGAGAGGGAGGGTGAGAGGGTGAGAGAGAGGGAACAGACAGAGAGGCATTTTGATTCGAGTAGGGCGGAGTGATCAAGAGGGAGCAAGTGAATATGTGAGAGAAATGAAGAAAGACTGAGGGAAATAGAGACAGAGGTGGAAAGGGAGGAGGGGCAGAAGGGGGAGAGGGTAGGGGTGAGGTGGGGGAGGCACTGGCTGTGCACAATAGGCCTAGACATGAATGCTCCTCGACACTCGTTACCACACATCCCCTTCAATTTCAACTCTCTAATGGAACTAGAGATTCCCCGCACCCACTCATACTGTGCACAAAGCGAGTGCGCGCGCACACGCACACCCACACGCACCTTATGGAGACGTACCACCTGCCGATACACGCACAGACACACACAAGCATATGGATGAATAGAAGAGGATACAGGCACATTCAAAAAAATGTTTTTTATTGCGGACAACACATGAGCAAATGTACACAAAAAGACGTGCGCACATACACACACACACGAGCACACACACACGTGACTGAATTTTATTTCTGTGAGATAAAGGGAATAAAGTGCAAAAAAAAAGCAGTGTGTGTGTGTGAGTCCGTAACAGTCGGCGTGCGTATATGTGTGTGTGTGTGTGTGCGTGTGTGTGCGTACGCACGCCTATAAATATGCGCGTGTGTTTCTACCGCATACATCACGTCAGTCCTCCTGCCTCAGAGCTTGTGTGGGTGCATACGTGAAGGTCTTTAAATCATGGAAGCTGCTACTTCTGTGTGTATGTGTCCATTTGTCAAAGCATACTCGCTTCTCCCAATATGCCTGCCAGTGTGCGCTGTCAATCATAAGACTGTGTGTGTGTGTGTGTGTGTGTGTGTGTGTGTGTGTGTGTGTGTGTATGTGCGTGCGTGGAGGGCAGCGCCAGACGAGGTCACTGATAAGGGCCGGCCCTTTGGAGGCCCATCGCTCTCTCCCTCCTACAGGCGGAGCATAAATTACTCCCCCAGACAAACCGTGGATATCGGCTTTCCGCCCCTCGCCTGCCTTTTCTTTTCTGCATCAAAACGGCCCGCTGATTCTAGCTGAACGGTCCTCACTGAATGTGAAGAGTTCTTCAGGATGGAGGGTGGGGGGGCTGCTCTTGTGGTTTTAAGCCACAAGTTATCAATATGTAATGTAGAATTAGTTGCCACATCAATAAGCGCAAATTAAAATAAACTTCTGTCTGCAAGTCTCGGAAATGATAATATTCCCTTCCACGTGCGCATTTCCGTGCTCGCCATCACTATGCATACGGTGAACTCAAATTGATTTGGCAACTGCGGAGGCGCCAATCCCCCCCCCCGGCGTCTGCATTTCCACACGCGGCCTCGGGCGGCATCATTCAAATGTCCCTGAACACTCCCAGAGTGAAGGGAGATTATCCCCGTAATTCACACCTGCCAATCAGTGAGCTGCAGGTGCACGGTGGGGAATGCACAGCTGCGCCTGCATCAACAGCAGAACAACGCGGGGCGAGGGATTGTGGACTTTCAAGGCTCTGAAGGTAAAACAGGTTGGTTTTGTGGCGATGAGAAGTCGCTGGAAGCTGGAACCCCTCCAAGGTCCCCCCCTGCTCGAATTATCAGCTTAGAAAAGAGGAAATGGACGGATGTACTGATAGTCCTTGACAAATCAGAGTATAAGAAAGGATGCCGTCTGAACCAGGCAGAAGTAGAAAGAAGAAGAAGAAGAGGAACTCGCTGTGGTGCTCCTGATTCAGTAATTGTTAGTAATTGCAGCAGCTCTCATTTGAGGCTCTTGCTGGTTTCTGCAGAGCACAGCGAAGGGAACGTGGACGGGTGCAGAGGAGACAAGTCAGCGCCACGTTTAGGAAAAAATCTCAACCCCTTATTTGCTTCCCTGTGGATCACATGTGGCCACGCTGCGGTATTTGAAGACACTTTCCAGAGCAAACTGACAGCGGGTTCATATTCTACGTGATTGGCGCATGCAAGAGTAAAATAATAAGGATTAAACGTTGACTCACCTGTTTGTGCATCTCAATGTTGAGCCCGTAGGACATCTCATAGTACTGGAGGAGAAGAAGAGTAAGACAAAAGCAGAAAAGTTATACCACAAGCATCAAAAACCTTCTTTAAATGGGTGAGTGTTGCACAGCTGATGCTGCAGGACAATCACTTTAGAGTCAAACTAGGTTTGTCTGTTGGCATTGTAAAAAAAAGTAATGGTTGTATGTTCCTCTACATTTTTAATAGAAAAATCTACGAATGAAGCTTCCAAACTTCTGACTATTGGGTGGAGTTCTAGTTCTGGATGGGATTTGGATTGTGATATTAAAAAGGTAAGAGAGTTGCCTCGCGTCAACGGTATCACAAGAAAAGACACACAACCAAACTCACACACCTTTAAAGGGGAGCGGTTTGAATAAAGGAGACATTGCTGTCAAGGGATTTTCTTCCCTTTTTTCTTTTAAATTTATCTCAACTCAATTTGAAACTGCGTTTCTTTCAAAAAGCGCTTTTGTCAGATGTTGAACCGCGGCGATCAAAATAGACTATTGGCAAATTTTATCCAACCACGAGTGAAATTATGAAAAAAAGAAATGATCGCCATGCTGCACATATTTATCATCTTAACATTTCTAAAAAGGTCGCCGCACTCACAAACACGCCTGCAAGTGAAGACGCACCGCTAAGAATAGTATAGGGAGAAAAAAAGGAGAGAAAATGCCTTGGTGTGTGTGTGTGTGTGTGTGTGTGTGTGTGTGTGTGTGTGTGTGTGTGTGTGTGTGATTTCAGTGTTAATGAGAGGGCCACCCTCTAGGCGTCAACCCTGTTAATCACCCACTCTGTCTGCAGGGGGGACTGGCTCTGTCACTGGGAAAACAAACACACATACGCACACACAAACACAAAATTGCGTTTTTTTTCCACTTCGATCTCGCACCATCGCACAGCGCGCGCACAGACACACACGCACACACAGACGCACTAAACACACACACACGCACTAAACACACACATTCTCTGTAGCTGCTCGCGCCCACATGGAAGCTCCCTAAAGTAATTACAGCGCCGGGGAAATGGAGGTGCTGCCGCTGGCCGGGGGAGTGGGGGCAACCTGATACGCTATTAGAGGAGGAGTGGGGGGAGGAGGGGCTGGTTATTGTGGGGATACAAGGCCGGGCCTGCCCCTGATGGAGTGGAAGTGCGATTGAAAGTGTGTGTGTGTGTGTGTATTAGGAGGGAGGGAGGGGAGGAAAAGCCATATTGCATTCATAGTTCAATTTTACTGCAACATTTTGAGTCTGAGGATCCCTTTGTGTTTCACAGGACAGTATTTCATGTTTGAAAAAACAAGGTGCGTGTGGCCCTAATGGTAAAAAAGACATCGCGGGATGGTCCCGTCTGTTCGTGCTGCCTCGCTGAGTGACAGCTCCACAGGTGACATGAGCTTTTCTGCGGCGGTAACCAGCAGGCGGCAAATTTAAAAGGAAGGCAGCAGCTTTGCACTCAAGCTTCTATTCGAATGAAGCTTCAAATGTCGAGTGGCATATTTGATGACATTATTGGGTGGGGGAGATGTCTTTGTTAGCTCGGGTCTGGGTACGTTGCTGCTAGACTGCTCGTAGTTTTGGACATCTGTGGTTTTTCAGTCCAAAATACTTCTCGTGTGGTAGCAGCTGTTTTTCCGCTTGTTTTTGCCACTTTATGTCAATAGAGAAGACAACTGGCATGTTAACTGATGAGGGAAGAACGTGTCAAGCCTCGCTGGAGTGCTCAGTGTGGACTTAGTCGCTGGTGCATCTGGAGCTTTCTAAATTTAGGAAGCTTAATTGTCTGGATACAGAAAAGCTAGCTATAAACTGACCAATCAACCTTTTAGTGTGTGTGTGTGAGGTTGTATGCACTCACACCTGCCTGAAACACACAGAGGAAGTGTGTGTGTGTGTGTGTGCGTGTGTGTGTGCGTGTGTCTGATAGCTGGCTGATGGGAGAGCAGTGCGGCTGCACAGATTAGATGAGATTAAAGCCATTCAGAGGATCAATTAGAGGGCAAACATCAGACGGCAACACAGCCGCGGCCAGCGACAATGAGATTAGCCCCGAGGTGGAGCGGGCGAACACATCCGTGTGGATGTGTGCGCACTGTGTACGGGAGAGAGACGAGAGAGAGATATTGCACACATACAGTCCCTGCAGAAACCCAAAGGGGGGAGGGGAGGGAGAGTAACAAAAGGACAATGGCAATTTATCGCAGCTGTGGTCATATCTTTGTAGCTTTGGCTACGTTACCGTTGTCAGAATCAGTTTTATTGCCACGTAGTCAATGTTCAATATCAAAATTGTGGCGTCTGAATGAACGGCTTGTGTTTCCGGTCTGTTTGGCACCATTTTTAAAAACATTTTTTATTGTACTTAGAACAGATGGCACAGCTACAAAAATGAGCAGCAAGACATAAGACAACAATTGCACTTGAAAGAATATTAATTAACACAGTGTGAGAACATAAAAAACAACAGTTAATCACTTCTTTGCACATTTAAACATCAACATCTTTATGTGACAATCATACTAGAAGGGTCAAACACAAGACGACACACACGCACACACACACAAGCCTTCACTCACCATGATGTAATGGCGCTGCATCTCTGACTTCTCACTGGCCAACTTGTCACACTCGAGCTTCAAACTGGGGAGAGAGCGAGACCGGGTTAGTAAGGTCACCTGGTGTCTAAAGTGCTGACAGCAGGTGAGTTCTATCTCCTTCATCATCATCATCATCACCACCACCAACGGCCCTGTCATCACTTTCATCATCGCATCCACCCTCATCACCGCCTCCCACCTCCATTGTCATCATCTCATCTACCATTATCATCTTTATCACCATCGCCGCCATCATCATCATCATCATTAGGGCCGTCATCGCGCACGCCGTTGCTAGCGTGACGTGGCGTCCATTGACGGCAAACTGCACATGTGGTGTCGAGCCAAAATGTCTGCTTTCTAAAATCAGAGAAGAGGCACAAAGCTAAAAGACTAAATATAGTTTCGGGAGCGTTTCCTGCGACCGGGTCCCTGTGACAGCCATTAGCTGTAATCATGTCAGCGCTGATGTCACGCGAGGCGACAGGACAAAGGAGGACGCGTCAACGAGTCACCGGGGTCGTCAAATGAAAAAGACAGAGGTGGAGGGGGGAGGGGGTAGAAATTCCCCTCGATGCCTTTTGACTGAAGCAGCTAGTTGCGGCCTCAGACGGCGTCATCCGATGTGAGGAGAGGATAAGGCTCAGATCAAATAAAGATATGCGCAGACACGGTGGATGGTTCCAGATTCAGGATAAGCCGGAAACCTGTTTGACGGTGTGTGTGTGTGTGTGCGCGCGCGCACGTGTGTATTTACACCAGGATGTTCTTCTTAGCTGTCTGCGGGAATGACAGCTCGATTACAGCGAGCGCTGGGTGAATCTTCATCGCTGTTAGTCTTAACTGGCAGGCTGAACACGTTGTAACACGGGGCCAATAATGTGAGCTCGCACGCACACACACACACACACACAAATGGTTATGGCAGCAGCTGCACTATTGGCCGTGGTTAACGTTTGGTTGAGTGTTCCTCCTTGTTAATTGGGCAAGATGACATAACAAGGATATATATATATATATATATATATATATATATATATATATATATATATATATATATATATATATATATAAAGTATCTTATTTTATGTGAAAAATATACACGTGCCAATCTTTTGTCAATATCATATAACAATTTTTTAGAGGACGATGTAATAATCAATCTGAATATCTCATAGAGACTAATAAGTGGATATCTGGACATCAAAGTAAACATATATATATCTAAATAAATCTGGATCATTGAAGATTAAACCGCTCTGACATAAATATGAATCTGGAACTGAACTTGAAATTTAAACTGATTAATAAATAGATCTCCGTTCCGTTCTCCATCCCCACAGAGCGACTGGAGCCTATTCAGCATGTATTGGGGGCATGTTGCGGGCCAACAACATATTCACAACTCATCGGATGACCCAGGAATCCCTCCAAACATCTCTGCAGAGAAGACAAGGCTGTAGGAATACTTGCTGTATGTGGATAGTCCTGCCATGGTGCTCCCAAAAATAACCTATAATTTAATGAGGTTGAGCAATGGCCTTTCATCGTATGAGATCATCCTTACATAAAACGATCTTTGTATGCAGAACATAAAAAAAATGTTTTGGGACTATCTCAAATCCGTATGTCCCAATACCGAACTTCATTAACAATAATACAATAATGTGTGTGTGTGTGTGTGTGTGTGTGTGTGTGGGGGGGGGGGGGGGGTGGGGGTGTTGCCTGATTGTATTGATTCTCTGCCACCTGTTCCTGTGTGTGGATAAGCAGCCTCCGCTCATCCAAAACGCTCCCCTTGCCTCCTACATAAAATCCCTTCCTGCTATCCCTGTGTACATGTGTAGGCTGTGTGGTGGGTTGTCATGACGACAGGCCTCCCCGCTGCCTGTCTACCTGGGATTGGCTTTGCGCCTCCTCTGATTGGTGCTCGGCAGCCCCCGGGCCTGCACCGCTGCTCTCAAACGACACTTTGATGGAGTTTTATTGCCGATTCTTCCGTCTCTAAATCGCTCCTGCTGTCATCTTTATTTTGATTTATGTATTCCCTGATCTATTTATGCATGTGAACGAGGGGAGGGGAGAGGAGGCGGGAGAAGAGGCGGGGGCCTGTGGGGTTGGGGGTGGGAGGAGGAAGACAGCGACAATGCTCGCTACTATACCCGGGGGATCGCCTGCGGTACATTCGCCTTTTAAAGGCTTCTGCAACAGACAAGCACGGCGCAGCAGCAAAGCGCTACAAAGCCTCGTCTGTGTCTCCCAACGCCCCACCTCTCCCCCTCCCCCCGGCCCCGCACCATCCCCCCGCACCCTCTTCTTGAGTCAATAGGCACTGTATGCATGTTCTGTACTCAGACAAAAAAGGTATTCTTTCAACTGCGCCCTGGCTCTCTGAAGAGGGTTAAACGGTGCTGCTCATCGTTGTGGGAATACAAAAAAACAAAAAGGCGAGAAAAAAAAAAAAAAAAACGCGTCACAATCCTCCGCGAACAAGAGCGATCAGACCGGAGCAGGAATTTTGCACAATTTGTCAGGCTTTCATCTGCCTTCGCCCCGTCTCTGCAACCGGCAGAAGCGAGCCTGTGGAAGGTTCTGGGTGCAGAAGAACAAAACAACCTCCTCAGGAAGGAAGGCGGGCTTCAAAGACTCCGCTCTCACAAAGAGGATCTCTCGGCGAGATGCAGACCCTGTGGCACCCCCCACCCCGCCCTCCCCCGTCTTTCAAACTGCTATCAAACAGATCGGTTGAGGTCGAACCAGGCACTTTGGAAGAGCCTCAGACTACTGGCTCTGCAGCGGTATTTAAGCCGTGAAGCGAGATCAATGGGCGAGGGTAAACCAGATTGATTTAGGTAGGAGTCAATAGAGGATGTGGCCCGGGTGTGCAGGGGAGGTTATGGGAGTTCAGGAATAGTGGAACAATCATTTTTAGGACAGTTATCTTCTGCCTCCCTCAATCAACATTTTTGCATTCCGAAGTAATTGATTTTACATTTTTTTTAGTACTATTAAAACACAACTACTGATGTCATGGGGAGTTTCCTAGAAACACCTGCTACATTTGAAACAGTAAATATGTAGGATCCGTTAAATAAACGGCAGGGTAGTTTCCCAGTGAATGAGACAACATTATGCTAAATAAAGTATTGGGGGAAAAAAAAAGTCCTTACATTCACATCAAAACCTATTTCAGGCCATGACATGGCAGCATCTCACATCTGCAGTGTGATAAAAGTGTGTGCAACAAAGGAAAACACCGAGTGATACACGTACAGCTTGGAGATGTGCTACTTATTTCAAAGAACTGCTTCCCCTTTGTATCTGTGTGCACGTGCAACGGTTTGTGTCTGCACCTGTGGTATTGTGCTTGGAGGAACTGGAACTCATCCTTGATCCTGTCACAGGAGTCAGAGGTTGTGAATTTCAGCTGCTGCGATGAAGCCTGCCAGAGACAAAAACAAGAGGCAAAAATGAAAGTTACAAACGCGTGAAAGGACAAAACAGGTGAGAAAGACGGCAGAGGAAAGTGAAAAGATTAAAAACAGACAGGAAATCAAGCAGTTTTCAATGTGACGCGTTCCTTGGAAACCGGTTGCCAAGTGTGCATAACACCCCCACCTCCGGTTTTGAATCACGACTAAAAATGCACACGCTCAAAAAGCAGAAACGGGCATAGCCATTGCTCGGCCAAACGTTATAGCCCCCTTTTTACCCACTATTGTGACATATATCACAATCATCTGGAAACGATGAAGTCACACAGACTGTATTGGCCAGAGATGGATGTCGACACGCTCCTGTCCAACCTTCTGCAGACATTACCCAGACTCCTCCTGTCCTTGGTTTCGCTCCACCGAGGTCTTTACAGTGCAGCTGGCAGCCTCGAGAGTTCATTACCCACGGCCACTACGAACAAAAGCATATCTTGCGAGCCATAACAGCCCGATGAAGTTATAATCCAACGTGTGTTTTCATTCCAACATTCCTCAGCGTTGTTCCAACGTTTAATTAGGGTTACGCAAAGCCACACTCTCGTGCTGGAGTATATCTTGCAACACATCTGAAGACGTTACCTTGGTCTCTGGTAAGCACTTTGTGGAATTACCCAAGTTTATTAACCATTATTAATTCATTAGGAAAGCAGTATAGGCCGATTAACAATGAAAATGATCCCAACCAGGTTATTTTGGTGGTGATATCATGGCGCCTAATGTGTCCCTGTCAAGTGGTTCATTTCATTCTTTGGCTTACCAAACGTCAAGTGTTCACTGAAAGGCCCGCTGCATAAAACTGTGCACCAAATGGCACTCACGGCACGTTAAAACGAGCTGGTTTTGCGCTCACACAGTGAGCTACAGCGGCACTCCGTCGCCTAGCCTGGATGTTGCTATTAGCCCTTATTGTAATTCTGCCCACACTTCATTCCCCAGGCAGCAGTGGATGGCCTGGTTGGGTGTTAGAGCACAGCAAGCATCAATCCCAAATAGGGACAAAATCTCATTATTTCTCAGCAAGCTGCATAATGGGTCAGGTGGGGAAAGAAAAAGAAAAAAAAGAAAGAAATCGACATTTTTCGCCACTACGATTGAGCAGGCATAAAACACCATCAGAAATCTGATTGCAGCACTTACGGAAAGCTAGCCTGCCGCTGTTAGGAATGACCTGTCGCTTTGTACCCTGCTCCCCACAGCATGTCGCTCTGCTTCATTTTTTTTTTTTTTTTTTTTTTTTACACTCCAAATAGGCTGCTTCGCATTCATGGAACCGTGGCCGCAGAATATGCTAAGCAACAGGATTGCTTCAGGTTGCAGGCGTGAACCTGCTTACTTCAAAGCGGAATTCGTTTAGGCGCTGCTTCGCCCGAACTTGGTTTAGGATTTGGTGGGGGTTGTGAGATTCTTTGTGAATCCTTCTCGGGAAAATATGCAAACCACCGCTATTATATTGGTTTTGCCATAAAATTAAGTAGTTTATATCAAGAAGCATTAAGGTCATCAACAAAAAAAAAAACTGAATATAGGGACGAGCCCGGTGGCCTCAGCCATTAAACTTTCAAATGTCACAAGAAGTGGTGACATTATCATGTTCCGCGCCACACAGAAGGCCCAATCCACACAAACCAAGCGGCTACTCGGAATAACCTTTTGCAGCATCCCTTCAGCTAGTAGGGCATGAACCGAAGCCGGGGAAACAACAGCACGGAACGATGGGCCTGTGCCACACACACACACACACACACACACACACACACACACACGAGGCACTTAGGGACAGGCAGCCGTGTACCTGTGTGCGTGTCTGCCTACAGGTAACCCCATGTGCCTGAGGGTAAAGCTGTTGCTGCAGATCAAATTTCCTTCCTGCAAACATTTAAAATACCAGAGTCTCTCCCGGTCAACAGCCCCGGGTGGGAATACAGAGGGAACCGACGCAGGACGACAAGGGAGAGCAGGAACTCTCCATTGGGAAAGGAAACACCTTTTGTATGTGACGTCACCCGTTATTTCACTACGAGTTAAATATAATAATGACACAATATGAATCATCAATAATCATTTTGAATCTCGAGATTGCTATAAAAGACTTGCCCTACGTTACAGCGATCATTGCAGGCGTTAACCACCTTTTATGACCGAAGGTCGTGTTTACTGAAGGTGACCGATGGTTTACTGAATCCTTCATCATGTATTCATTCTTTTGATTGATATCATAAATGTTCATGTCATGTACATAATATGGCAAACCCTCATGGATTCATGACAAGAAAAATACAGCTGCAGCAGACAAACAATTCATTAAGTTGTATTCAATTTAGAAATTCAAGGAGGTTCTTCCTTCTCTCCCGGGCCCGACAAAAAGATTCCAACAACTCAAGTTTTAAGCACGACGGCCTCTCGGGCTAATGTTCCTGAGCGTAACCGTGCACACATTGCTAATACACTCCATGTGTGGGGGAGGTGACGTAAACACGTGTTATCGTCAAACATATGATGGATATGAAATGGTTTTAGGGCATTTTGTTTTAATGGGGCTGTAATGGTTGCAACCAGACTAACGAAAGTAGTTGACAGCAGTCTGCATCTGGTTGCTTGGGGCAACAAGATAACACACTTCAAATTCTACTTGAAGTGCTTTAAAGATTTCCAACATAGATCAGAACTCCACAGCGGAGAAAATGGGATGTATTTTTGGGACCCCAGATCAAATGTGGCCATATGTAGCTGATAATAATTTGAAAGCACAGCTGGGGGGGGACGTTCCCCGTCAACAGGAAGGGAATTGCGACGACTGAAGGACACAATTTTGTTATTAAAAAGCACATACAATTCTTTGTATTGGAACGGTCTTCTGGAATGGGAAATATGTTACCAAGTGCAGCTTCCCATCAATCAAGGTCATCACACAGCTGCATAAATCCTTGATAAAAACGCGCAGTAAAGAGCAGGAGTTTGAAGGACGATTCTCACAGAGCTGCCTCAGATGATGCAGGACCTCTCCACCGAATATACACGGCTAACAACGTTCATTATTCCTCTCCGCGACCAAAACAAGGTGCTCTGTGGGGCCCTGAGAGCCCGCAGCAGATGGGTGCCCATAATGTTAATGAAATACCGCCGCAATATTGTGACACGTGCCATCTGCTGAGACAAAAAAAAAAAAAGGTGCCTGCACACCGTGTACGTGAAAATGTGTTCCTGCAAGTGAGAGGCTAACGTGTGTGTGTGTGTGGTTTTGTTTGCGTTGCAGAGGAATAGCCTGGACAGTGTGAATGTGACAGAGAGAGATGTGTGTGTGTGTTCGAGCCAAACATAGAGCCTTAACATTGAATAGGTGTGTGTGGGGGGGGGAGAGGGGGGTGATAAGCCTCCATGTATGATTCTTTGCTGCCAGGAGGAACAAATATTCACTGCCATGAATCATACACGAGGATACAGGAACAGCCCACACACACACACTCACACTCCCTCAAATGCATAATTTGCATAGTGCGCACACAAATAGACAGGCATGCATGTACGCACACAAGCACACGCAGCACCTAAATGTAGGACAATCTCTAATTTGATTCTGCCCTGCTCCTTTGAGACGTAATTAAAGCATTAAAAAGCTTTGTGCGCTGGTGAGGCAATTGAGACAGTCTTCAGCGAATAAATGGGATTCATCGTTTCAGGAAATTGCTGCCCCACCCCCACCCACCGACCCAAAGCCCACTCATCACACACACCCCCCCCCTTCCTGGGCCTCATCATCTGGTCCAATCCATGTGAAATCTAGTGTGAAACATAATGTCTATTTTAAATAAGAATCAGGCTAAGGCGGTTTCTGCTCCATAGATCAGTCGACAAAAGGCAACGGGAAGGGATGGAGATTAAGTGGAGGTGGGGGGGCTGCGCGCGCGCGCGCGCGCGCACACACACACACACACACACACACACACACACACACACACACACAACAGTGATTAGACACAGCAACAATGCATGAATACAGTACATACATCCACAGCGGAGTATTTAGACACACAAGCAGAGCGCACACACACACACACACACACACACACACACAAAGACAATAACAGCAGGATACATGGGGAAACATCCTCCTCAGTATAAATCTTGCCTGAGGGTAGCGGCAGTGTGGGGATTGTATTTCCTGGAACCCTGACTGGCTGTTTACATCCCAGTCGGAGTGTGTTTGTGTTCGGTAAACGTGTGCCGATGTGTGTGTATGTTAGTGGTGGTGGTGGAGGGGGGGGGGGGGGGGGTCAGGGATAGGGCCATGGCATTGTAATCACTCACTAATGACTGGATGTTATCTCGCTCCCACTTTTAAATGAATGCCGAAGATCCACACAGACAAGCAGTTGGCCTATTTCTCAACGCCAGGCTGTGTGTTCTGCTCCATAGCAACGGCCCCATGGATGCCATTGGAGCCGTCCACCTCTTCAGTCCATCTTACGACGCAGTGACATTATCCAAAGCTACCTCGACGACGGAGAAGAACGGAACGCATTTTTGGTGAAAGCAAAACAAGCAGAGGCGTTGTTCTCAATTTGGTGGCGACCGTAAAAATGATTAGGGGTAAATTCTAGGCGCAGGCTGCCCCTTGCATCGAAAAAAGGCAAGGGGCAGAAAAGTGGCTTTTGGAAGTGATGAATTATGAATTATTGCAACACACCCGGAGTAATTAAAGACGACTTGGCAAACCGTACCAAGATATTCCCATAAATTCTCCTAGTTTAATCTAAAATAAGATTCTGCATTGTAGCGTTGAGCCTACTGAAGGCGACATGTATCGGTGATCACATGTGGGGTATGTGTTTAACACGTGGGCAAACCTCTCAGCAAAAATCCATCGTGACATGATTTACCGAGCCAGACCGCTGAGGGCTTAAGCCTTTTGCTAATACACCAGCACCAAACAAGATCACATCCCCCGTCT